TGACCACCAGTTCCCAGGCACAGCTATTTACTATCTTCTGGAATGTTTAGGGATGCACCAGCTTGCTCCGCTTATCTCCAGAGTGTTGCTCTGGAGACGAGAGCACCGTTTTCACCCCCCTTCCTCCATTCCAGTCCATCACAGTAGTGTCCTTTAAAGGTCTCTTAAAAATCACACTGTGCCTCTGGGGCCCTGCACTTCGGCACTCGTCACCCGTCACCCTCCAGGTGCGCAGCAGCACTGCCAACGTGCTGCAGAATGCGCAGGGGTGTCACTCAGCCTCTGAGCCAAGCCTCGGTGATCATCTTGTCACGCTTCCCTCCCATGTTGCAGGCAGAGCAGTCCACTTTCAACTTTTTCCAGTCTCCCAGTTTTGTGTGATAAATTATTTGCCATTTTGTTTTTTCCAAATATAGTTTTATTAAGCTTTAAAACATAATTTATATTTCTTTTACAAATATATATCATGGCACTGGGGTGGATATGTGGTGACTGGGCTTGCTGTTTTTAGGGTTTTAGTATGTTGTTGTAGGTCCATGCATCTGGAGGTGCTTCTCACATGATGGGCTGCGAGCGGTGACTTGAACAGTACCACGGGCTGATGGGAGGGAGAGGAGAAAGGGCGGCAGCGTAGGTGGCCAGGAACAGCAAAATCCCGCTTGAACTTCCCCGGGTGGTGGGGGAGGTGTGCCCAACTGAAGATGACTCTGTGAAGGCAGAGGCAATGACTGCAGCAAAGACCAAGGAACCGGTGAGTAGACCTGTTAGAACCTCTCTGGATAAGGAGAGGACAGGAGATTGTCCACGTGTACTCCAGATAAGGAGACCGCAGGACAGCAGTTTTCCATGAGTTTCAGTGCTGGGAGATGATGGGATTATCCATCTTGCTTACAATTGCGGCAGAGACTTTTAAAGGACACTACGTTTGCCAACCTCACTTTCTAATTACTTTCGGAAATTGGTCATTTACTACTTTTAAGCTATTAGAGACCTTTGGAACAATTAAGCTTGAAAACACCGGGTGAGTGTCTTCAATCCTGAACGAAAGAAAATTTTAATTATAAGTTTAAGAATTTAAAGAATCTGAAATAAACAGCAGAAAGCTAAATAAGATCTTGATCTTAGAAAGTTATAAACAGACTAAGGGCCCAGATAAAATTGGAATGTTGAAACTTTTACAACAAGATTTTGGAATTATATAATTATAAAGAACAAACAGCTTCTCATGGGAAATAGATCCTGTTTTGGCTTTTATAAGACATAACAAAGACAAACAATTTCATGTTTTCAAAACTGGACACTAAGGATACTAAAGTTTTTAGGTGGAGGAAAAATTTACAAGTCTGTAAAATGTTGCAACATATTCTAACTAAAAAAATCCTGAAGGAGACTTTTGAAGAATGGAATCCGAAAATAGCACAATATCAACAATGTCAGTAATGATGTCTGCTTTTATGGATAGATTATGTCCAAAAGATGTTATTGAGGAAACGTCAGACGTAGAACAAATTTTATCTGGCAAGGTAGAGATGTATTGAAAGTGGATTTGCAACTTAGAAAAGGATGTTTCACTGGATCTTCAAAAGAAACTGGCTGAGGTTTTAGAATTTAAAAGGGAAATACAAATGACAAACCAAGAGAGTAATCTGGATAATTTTTTTCTGACTCGATTTACAAAAGAGGCTTGTTAAAGCCTTGAAGAGCTCTGTGCAATGGGATAAAGAGGAAATGAAGAGAAACCAAATCCTATGACAATATTTGAATGAACTAAAGATTAAGACTGTTAGAAGTAAAAGGAAGGTTTTTTTTCCCCAGTTATTTCTGAGGCAGCTGATGAGCGGCCCCTGGCCAACTCTGGGAGGGGCAGTGGCTTGGTGAGGGGGAACTCAGGAGGGGCAGTCCTGTTTTCACCCTCCATCTCATGGCTGGCACTGGGAACAGGACAGAGGACATTTCAGTCATGTTTCAGACCAGGGTGAAGTATTGAGGCAGCCTTGATGGCGCTTGTAGATGACTGTGGTGCATCTATCGTTGTGCTCGATCTCTCAGTGGCTTTTCCACAAACCTTAGAGGCAGTTTCATCTACCTCTTAATATTCTCTTCCTTGTGGGTGATATATTTTGAAATGTTCTTCATACAATAAAGCATTTTTTTTCCTGCAGATAGTAAGCTCTAGATATTGAACAGCTTCTAAATAAACAAATCTTAACTTTGTCCATGGCAAGTTCCCAAATTGCATTTTAATTATTGGTGAAATAATCCCATTGGTATTTACATGAGCCGAGATCCTTCTCAAATATGTTACCACCAAACCCATTCTCTAACAGGTATTTAGATTTTCAAACATGCATTTGATTTTCCCTACCCAGATGCAGAATCGACACTGAATTTCATCCTTTTCAGTGTGGTCCAGTGCTCAAGCCTGTTGAGGTAGTTTTCAATCCTGGTGTTACCTTCTGGGTATTAGCCCAGATTACACCTCCTGGATTGGTGTCGTCTGCAAACACCCTTTCCAGTGCCATCTTCTAGCTCATTTATAAAGATGTTGAACAGCTTTCAGGAGGACCCAACTCAGTACAGAGCCATTTTCAATCTCTGCCCACCCCCGGATGTAGATCTTCAATCAGTTGCAAATCTAATGGACCACATTACCTACATTTAATCACCTTTTTGAATGCTTTACTCAGATACAAACACACAACATCCTCAGCATTCCCAAACTGGTCACTCCGTCCTAGAGAGAGAGGTTAGCTTGGCTCCTGGTAAAGGCAGCGTTCTTCTGTACGTGCTCATGGACAGGTTGCTTGGCAATTGGTTCTAAAATCTTGTCCAGAAGCAACATTATCCTGTGGTTAATGATCTGTGGTTTCCCAGGTCTTTCCTTTTCTTCTGTTGATATCAGGACTGTTTGCTCTGCCTCATGGTTTCTCCAGGAAATGTTATGGATGATAATTCCCTGTCTACTGGTCACACTAGCCAGGGGGTAATCCAAGTAAATAGTCCATAATATCTGGAGGATGTTAATTTGTGGAAAGCTGAATTACTCCATCCCACCCACCCAAGGCTGCTGTGGATCCTTATTTGGGAATAAGTACCATAAAATTTGCCTATTTCGAACTAAACCTGAATGTGCCCATAGTCACAGGAGCTTTGTTAAAATGAGCCAATTAAAAGGCTTGGAGGAGGCTGAATTCTGGGCCCAATTCTGCATTCTGCAGACTCATAGAATGGACAAGCTTGGAGATGACTCCTGCGGGTGCTCTGATTTCTTGAACAAAATGAAGGAAGGGACATTAAATAGGAGGAGAGCCAGTTTTCAAGATGAGGTGCTTGGTGGAATAAACTATGTCCTCTTTCCTAGGCACCCACTATATCCGCGGAGTCAACAATACCTACCAACCATGGCATAGCATGGAAGGCCGCAAGCAATACAGCCTGAAGCCCGCCAATCCTACGGAGGAAGGGCTGGCGAGCCTGCACAGCGTCCTCTTCCGCAAGCAGCCTTTCCTGTGGAGGGCTGCCCTCCTCTACTACACAGTCTGCCAGGCTGGCCGCATGTCCTTCTGTGAACTCTTCCACGACTTGGGGCGCTATGTGCAGGATGCTGGGGTGCGGTGGGAATACTGCGTGCGAGCCAAGCGAGGCCAGGCTGACACCTCGTTGCCAGGTGGGGGCGGGACACTGCCGGCCTCTGGGGCCTCTTCATTGCAGGGACTTTGAACCTTTCTAGCCCTCCTGATTGCCAGGGAGCCAGCTGCAAAGTTCCTCTGCCAGCTTGCCTCCAATGTGGTTTCTCTTCTGCCTTTCTAGCCAGAAGGAACCTGGGGGAGAACGCAGGGATGCACCTGCGTGCTGGTCTAGTGCAGGGGTGGGGTTCCTCACTGGCCTTTTCTGGTGGGTGAAATCCCTGTGGGCCCATCTCTTTGCCCTCTTTTCCCCACTCTGCCTTCCCAATTTCCTATCCTCCTTGCTACAGTCCCCCAGAGCCATTAGGCTTTAAAAATACTTAATTTGTGCCTTTGAGGCTTTTTAGAAACCTAACAGACATGCAGGAGGTGCAGCAGACCTTCAGCATCCCCCCCCCAAAGCCACCTCCTCTCTTCTCTCCTTAGAGCAGCTTTGAAAAGCATTGAGGGAGAACAGAGAAGGGGCTGACTTGGCTGCTGTGTTCAAAGGGCAAACAAGATTTGCTATAGAAACCTCCTCCTCCCAGCTTCCTAGGTTTTCTCTCTTTCCCACGTCCAAAAGGATTCATTGATAACCTCTTCCAGGGGCAGCAGGCATGTTAGTCCATTACCAAAAAGTCTCTTCTGGCACCTTGGCGTGATTTCTCTTACGTGCCAGGCAAGTAAGTTGAGGTGGATTGCTCTCAAATGAAACCAGAGAGTTCCGATCATCCTCAATGTCGGCTGTCCGTCTTTTGCAGGTTGCTTCAGCAAAGATCAGGTGTACCTAGAGGGAATTCTCCAGATCCTCCGACATCGACAAACCATTGATTTCCGGTTGCTGGCTGCGCTGGGGAAGGTACACTCGAGTGCTCTTAGGCATTCCTTTTGCTTTTCCCTCGGGCACAGCTCTCCAAGTGGGGATAGATGAACGACAGGCAAGCAAGGAGGGAACGCCGACCGGTGGAAACACCTGCGCTCCCATTTCACAATTGCATCTGCTTTTTGAGGGGAAGGTGGCTGCTTTCTTTTCTAAAAACTAGACTGCCTGGTGCAAGCTTGGACTGATGTGATGTTCACCACAACTGAGCAAGGATTAACATTCTCTCTGAAATATTTGTCTAAACACCCAGGGTCTGTTTTTATCATTCACACCATGGGAAACTAGTCTGAATATCTGCAGGGGAGGTAACTTCAACAGACTGCTCATAAAGTACCCCCTGACTGGAATTCAGCAGCCATATTTCTTCTAAAGGCTGGCCAAAAAGATCACACTAGTTATCAGGTTGGAAGTAAAATTCAGCATTAATGGAAAGCATCATCCTGTGTATTAGCCCACCCTTAAAATCTGAGACAACTTGTACATAGGTTTATACGCTTGTTTATTTTCCCACAGTGAATAGCTTTGGGAGACTAAGCTAGAAAGGTTAAAGAACTTACCCAAAAACAAAAACATGAGTATGGTTGCTTGGCTTGGGGGGCAACCAGTGCTTGGTCCTGACCTTTCCTTCAGTCTAGGTACCCAGTTATGAAATCCTGGCCTATTCCATGTGCTGGTCTTGCATCACAAACAGAAGATTTAAATCAAGTCAGTGGGCTAACATACGTGTCCTTTATTCAGGTCTCTTATGAAGATGTGGATCATCTGAAGAAATACGGGGTGCTAGAGAAGGCCCGAATCCCCCACTTCATGCAGGACCTTGAACGGTACATGCAGCAGCTCAACCACATTGTCACCACCAATTGTCTCAATGATGAGGAGCTAGAACGGCTGATGCCTGAGTGAGCTTGGTGTCACTCTTCCAGCTTTTAGTTATGCTGGACAGATTGTGCTGAAGTCCCAAAGGAGGAGTGTCTTGTTGGACTGCTGAAAACAAATCAATGGCTCATGTGTTCTATTTATTCTTTATTGATTGGGGGTATCTGGTTTTGAGTATTAAGTGAAGAAATCAGACTGAGGCCACGACTTTTGTGTGTCCACAGAGAGAATTCAGCTGCCTCTCATGGAATTTTGGCCCTGGGCCAGAGATGTTTTTAAGCAGATTTGCAAAGATCCATGTCTGGAATATGTCTTTCTGTGGACAGATTAGTACAGGTTGGTTTAGAACTTGCTAAAGAAACCCTAAGCAATATTTTCAGGGTTCTCCAATTGAGACTGTCCTCATGATGGCACGAAAGAGCAAAGATTAAAAAATGCTGCTTAATGGCAGGTACAGAGGTTCTTAAGCATGACTTTGGCATTTTTGACTCTCTAATAGATATTTGAAATCACGTCTATATCTCTAATTCAGTCAACTTTCAATCTTGCCTGGTTGTGCTTGACAAAGTGGCCAGAGAGAGCCAGGAAAGATGTTAGTTTATTTCTGGGGGAATTATAGTAGATCACTAAGAATTTCAGACTCATTACTAATGGTTTTACAATGGCAACAAAAAGTCTTTCTCCCCTTCAAAATTAGGCGCTTGGGCTCCATACTGAGCTTGTGCCAAGAGGCACTATTGCACCTTAATCCTCAGAATACATGGCCCACCACCACATGCTAGCTTATTTTTGTACTCAGTGGGCCTGCAGGTTCCAGAACATGCAAGGAAGAACATGCAGGACTGAAGTCTGCCCAGTGCTGGTTTCCAATAAGGACCTTAAGCCAGATGCCTTTGCTTCTGGGCCTGGACTTTAAGTGCAGAAAAAAATCTGTGTCTCAATAGCAATAGCTACCTTGCCTTCCACATAGTCAAAGCATAACCAGCCAACTCCCCCAGCCTTTCTCACAAATGTAAGGTGTTAATTAGCTGTCCTTATTCTTCTGCTAGTTTAAGCTAAGTGTTTAAGAAGAGCCAAGTTTATTTGGCCCCAAAAACACTGAGAAGGAGATTGGGCTGCAGAGAGTCAGACTGAGAAGGCCATTAGGCAAGTGGTCACTTGTGGTGGGGAGGTGGGTAGAAAAAAGGCAAGATTATTCCCCAGAAATAGGCCATCATAATAAAACGTAAAATGCAGTACATTTTACAGGCAATGCTACAACCTCACTGTTAGGGACAGCCCTTGGCTTTAATAGATAGCATGGGAACAATTCCTTCTTCTGAAGCTCTTTGATACAAAAAAGGGTGTTGATCCCCTAAGTCTTTTTTGCAGGCTGCTTAGGAGCAGGAATTCTCTGCAGAGTTGCATGTCCGTTTTGCAACCTGAAGGTGGGAGAAGTGTTTTTTCTGCCTCTTTCTGTTGTTGATGATGGAGAAAATGGCTTGCCCTGCCCTTCAAAAGCAGCCTTTGTTAACCCAGTGGCCCTGATCCCCACCCAGAACTATAATACAGTAGCTGGAAGCTGAAGCCCAACCAGTCAGGCCTGGTTTTGAGTATGTCTCTCCATTTTCAGGCCAAAGGGCAGACTTTTTGGCGTTTCAAACTTTGCTTGCTTATGTGTGAACCTTTAACCCTATTCCTCAGTTTTCTTCAGTTTGACACCCCATAGATGAACTGAGACTGAAGCTCTCAGATTCTTAGCCAGGATGGCAAGTTTCTAGGCTGCCATATCTGCACAGCTAATTCCTCTTGCAGAATAAACCAGAGGGCCAAGCATTTTTCAAATGAAGGACTAGGCTTGGCCTTTCAATTATGTACTTGGGGGCACATCAAAATGTAAGGTGACCCAGTGGAAAAGGGTCAGACAGGACCAAAAAAAATTATTTCTTTTAAATTTAACACTAAATCAATTAAATATGATTATCTGATGTATATGGTTTTCCCCATTTGGCACAATTCAGTCTGACAGCCACTTTTGGAAAGGCCTTTCAGGGCAGCAATTTGGGTGATTTCATTGCATTCTTTTTTTCCATCTGAATATGCTGAATCTGCCAGGGACTTGCAAGAGTTTACAACTGTAAATCAATAGTAAAACTTCCCTGGTAGGCAATGGTCAACAGAACCAATTAAACATCCCCAGCAATAACACCGTAGCATAATTAACCAATATTAAAATTAACACCATAAAACATCTGATAATAACAGCATAATTAACCAATATTAAAGTATCATGAAACAATCTAATGATATTGACAGAGCAATAATTATCCAAATAATGTTTACTGGCAGATGTATTCTATTTTCAACCATGGCAAATGAAGGACTGGTATAAAATGAGATTGTAATTTCAGTGAGTCCCTTTCAAAAGGGTTTATTTTATTAGTTTCTGAACAGCTTCCTTGCTGATACCTTGTGCTGCTGGAAGTTCTTCAGAACATAGATGGTCTCCAGGCATGTGCTGCTTGCCTTTATTCCACCAGCCCCGCCCACCTCCCCAAAGTCATTGCTTGGGGAGAGAAGCCAAATGAAGGGCTGGGCTGTTCCAAAGCCCAGGAAGGAACAGTGCAGCCTCATTGAGTGGAAGGAGGAGAAAGGAGAGGCTGGTTGGGGATGCCGCTAAGAACAACAGGAAGGGTTTAGGAACACCTGCGAGGGTAACCCCACTGGGAAGGAAGCAAACATGAGAGAACGCTGGGAGGAACTGATCTTGAGAAAAAGGGAGGCTGAAGCGAGCGCTGGGTATGCGGATGATCAAAGGCTAGACAGCTGAAATAGTTTACCCTTTAGCATATTGGGGGATCCAGACTCCTGTGTGAAGCTGCCCCAGATTCCTTCTGTCATAGCATGTTATCATAGCAGCTGTGCTTTCCAGAGTGCTGGGTGAATGTGGCCACAGGGTGGGTGAATTCTCAGTACCAAGGAGCAGTTTTCAGAGCTCTTTCCCCAGTTTGGCTCCATACTCAGATTTCTTGGGCCACGCATCCTGGCAAGCCAGCCAAACTGTGGCAGCACCATGACATTTAGCAAAATCCAAATTTGCCTGTCAGCCCCAAAAGGCTGGAGACCCCCAAGGACATGACAGGCCTTGTGAATGGGAAACATACTGAAGTAGGCTCACTCATCTTCCTGTATCCAAATAGCGTATTTCCAATTTTCACATAAGTATTTTCAGGATCACATTTATTGCCAACCCACATGAAAAAGTTTAAAAGGACATTATTAGCTTTATTTGCTAAAGAACTACATTTTTTTTACTTAAATAGAGACAGAGGACAAATAAAAGAAGACCTTTTTACACCAAGAAGCTGACCTCCACCATACCTTGAAGACTGCTCTCACAGAGACACACATACACATTAAGATCGTCCTGACAAGCACTGGTTCACCACCTGGAGCAGATGCATATTCTCTAAGGCGGCAGCTACTCTCTCTTTGTCAGCAAGTTGCTTGTTTACTGTGGAAAAACAATCCCACGACAGTTTTAGTTAAACATGGAAGTGTTTGCCATGTTTAGCAGAAGAGGCTAAACCACAAATGCACGCTTTTTCTCCCCATCCTGCCCAGCTAAGAAACAACTGGCAAACAGAAGCATTTTACAAGCTCACCATTTCCCCACAGAACCAGCAAAATGAGGTTTACCAACTTATCTTTAAAATGACATTTGGACAGTAAAAATGTGTGTTTTGCCTCTGAGAGGCTTAGGCATATGCCCCCTTATTTTTGCAAAAAATCCTATAATATAATGAAAAGATAGACTATAAATTAAAATCGATTTATATCAAGCTGTTCAAGACAATTAAGCTGGCATCTCTAAACCCAATAACCCCAGTCACTAAAAAGCAACAAAGCAAAACCTGTTAGAAGTGAATCTGCTCTGCCAGCAGAGGGTGACCATGCGATCCCTCACCTGGCAGCTTTTCAGCAACAAAACAAGTTGGAATGTGCAGCTATTGGGCCCACAGAGGAAAAGGCCCTTCAGAGGAACTCGGGGGACGCTCTGCACCTGTCTGCCTTTGCCTGGTCTCATGCGGAGGCTGCAGGGTCTCAGAATAAGGCACATCTTTTTTTTAATGGGCAGCAAGTGCATCTGAATCCCTCTGAAGCGCCTTCTCTGCCTTGGATCTGAGCAGCTGAACATCCCCAACACAACCTTGCCGGGATGTTTGCTGAACATGAAACATGAGAAACAAAAATTACCTGCATGCTCAGAAGCATGTGTCCCAGGTGTTATGTGGACATCCACCTGAAAGGGAGACAGGCAGTTCAAGTCACCCAGTTTGCATATCCTCTTGAATTGCAACAAGTGGATGGAGTGGGATGCAACACCCATTCACTGCAATAATTCTCTTTGTTTCAGTTTTCAAAAACCAATTCTGATTTTTCAGGCCGTGTATTACCCAGGGCTCAGCTTCCTTCAGTTCTCCTTGGACTTGGGGGTGAAGGGCTAGAGGAGATGGAAAAGAATATCTGTAGCTCAGGGCTGAACTGTGGACTCCTTGGTGTTCTCTGAGCTTGGTGGTTTGCTTGCAGACATTTTATTACCTGACTAGGTAACATCATCAGTGCTAGTGAGCATGGGCTTTGCTCCCTGATTACATGCAGTAGCTTGCCCTGCCAGTGTTGGCGGAGGGGTATGTTTTTCTCCTCGGTAGTTCCTCGATTAGGGTATTGTTTTCTGCTTGTTTGTCTGATGTTAATCCCTACTTATCTGGATGCAGGCTGCTGAAGAGGATGTGTTCTGGTCTTGTTAAACTACCAAACTCCATAGAGTTAGGATAACATAAAGGGAAGAGAAACATAAAGCACTACCACCAAACTCATTTTTCCTGATGACCTGAAGGGCTTATATGGCAAAATCAAGCAATTCTCCCTGAGTGAACAAGATGTCACTTACTTTCTGAACACATCTTTTAGACTGTGAGCCTGAATTTAGCATCTATTTATTTTCTATGATATTCTGGGAGTGCCTTCTCATTGGCAAATATCAAAAAGATCAATGCTAGTACAAATCAAGAACTGCTATCAAGCTCTCCGGATACATCCACCTGAGCAAACCATTGATATAATATTACAGAAGATGCTTGGACTCCCACGGATCAAAGAAATCCAACAGCCACCCAGAGAAAGGAGGGACATATGACAGTGATGGACAATTTCCTGCTAAATTGAACTGGGGGCTGTGTGGAGACCCAATGTTGTCTTTCAGGTGCCCATATACAGGACAAGACAATGTGGTTACCAAAACTATTCAAACCCACCAATAACTTTCCTTTTCTCATGATCCATGCAGGACAAATTACATAGCCAGAAGGGACCCTAAAAGAATCTCTTACAATGATGAGGGCTTGGGAAGGAACTGGGGGAATGTATTCTTTTATTGTTCCAGTTAAGGGTTTTGGTGCAAGAGAGTAGGATCCTGGAAGTTAACAAATGGCTACACAAATGGTGTCACTGAGAAGGGGCTGGATTCTACACAATGGCCTACGTTCTCATCATGAAAAACTCCAGGGAAAAAATGGGATACATCTTACAAAGACTGGAAAGGAAGTGTTTGGCTTGCCATCCTGGCAGGAAGGCCTTAAACAGGAACAAAAGGGGAAGATGGCAAAACTGAGAGTGGCAGCCAAGGATTTAGGACCAAGAAAGAACAACCCAGAAGGAGAAACAAGAGACCAGGGAACAAAGAGGCCTGGAGATGGTGTCACTTAAAACCTTGGCTATTCCAGTGCAGTGAATATGGGAAATAAGCAGGGATAGTTAAGGATCCTAACCCAGGAAGACAAGTAGGGTGTGACAGGCATCACTGAAACTTGGGGGGAAGGTGCTTTTGATTGGGACACAGCAATGGAAGCTATGATTTATTCAAAAGAAAGAGACCCAATAAAAAGGAGTGGGGGGCACTGCACTGGGGATGGGGGTAGTGCATCCATTCTTGCTCTTTCTGACCCCAGAACGGCTTTCAATACCATCGGCCATGGTATCCTTCTAGATTGGCTCTGGGGGATGGGGGTGGGCGGCATTGTCTTGTGTTGGTTCTCTTCCTTCCCCCAGAGCTGGTTCATTGGTGTAAACAGGAGGGGAGGGGTCCTGCCCTCAGCACTCAGGGCATCACAGGCTTCAGTATTTTCTCTTCTCTTGTTTAACATAAAGCTACTAGGTGAGGTTGTCCAACAGCACAGGTTAAATTATCACAATGCTACTGATAACCAGCTTTATATCTCCACCCTGGGCAAACTAGGCAATGCTGTGGAGGCCCTGTCTAGGTACCTGAAGGCTGTGGAGGCTTGGATGGGGAACAGGCTTCAGCTCAACCCAAACAAGACTGAGAAGCTTTGGGTGTTGGGGCCCCTGGTTCTTGGGACTTTCCATTTCTTGTTCTGGATGGAGTTGCACTACCCCAAACAGGATCTGTGCACAATCTGGGGGTCCTTTTGGACTCACAGCTCCTGTTCAAACAGGTAGAGCCATGGCCAGGAGGGCCCTTGCACAACTGCGTGTTGTGCGCCAGTTGCACCCACTGTTGGACCGGGAGGCCCTGCTCAGGGTCACTCACACTTTTAGTCACTTCTATATGGGGCTACCCTTGAAGAGTTTTCCGAAGCTTCAACTTCAAAATGTAGCTGTTTGGGCAGTTATGCGCACTCCATGATCTGCACCTCTGCTTCACAAGTTGCACTAGTTGCCAGTTTGCTTCTGGGTGCAATTCGAGGCGCTGGTAATGACTTGTAAAGCCCTACATGCCATGGGACTAGGTTACTTGAGGGACCACTTCTCCAAATCTCCCCCCACGCGGTTTGGGTCCAAATGCCTGCTGTCTTTCGGCAGATCTACGTGCCAGTGCTGGGGTTAACTCTCTGCCCAAGGAGACGGCTGCGCAGAGGCAACGCCACCAGAGTCCAAGGGCTGCGCGCGGCCTCCCCGCCGTCGCTCACCTTGAACCTCTCCGGGAGGGATCGGATCAGCTTCACCTTAATGGAGAGGCCGATGAGGGTCGCCATGCTGCAGTGCGGGATCGTGGGCGTGAACTCCACCGACACGGCGTTTTCGGCGTCGCTCACCTGAGGGGTCAGAAGGGGGGGGCTCAGAGGCGGCGCCGGGCGGGGGAGCCGCGGGCCCCTCACGCGCTCGGCCTCCGCACCTGCACGCGGACCTGCTCCACCACGTTCAGCTCCTCCAGGGTCAGCGGGTGCTCGGGGTCGTGGATGCCGCGGATGAGATGTGCGCAGTCAAGGAAGGGCGGTCGGGCGCGCCAGGAACCCCCCGGCCCTACTC